CCTTTTGGAGAGTCCCGTCAGGCTGCCTTTCCTCCTCGACCTGTCCCTCTTCAGGCAGGAAGCCCCAATCTTCGGTGGTGATAATTCTTCTAATGGTGCGTTGTACGGAACCGTCCGGAAGGGTTTCTTCATACACGGTATAATCGGGGAAACGCAGATGCATAGAAGGCATGTCTGCGGCTGAAGAAACAATAGTGCGTTTGTAGATGCGCAGAATGCTGCCATCCGGCTGTTCTTGGATTTCAACATCAGCACCCAACGGCACCGAATCCGGATCAGGGGCATCAAGCTCGTCATCTGATTCGCAGACAGTTCGTTCAACAACCTGGTGGAGGTGAATGTCACCAGCTAGAGGAATGTCACACTCCTCCTTGGGTGTTGAAGGTGGGGTACGAGGGTCAGTTTTCGCTGCACCTCGAGCTGGAACCGATGGCATCTTTTTAGGAATCTTGGACTTCTTCGAAGCCTCCTTCTCCGCTTCAGTTGGTGTGACTGATTCGGGGACATCGTCAAGCGGAGCCAGCATTTTCTCGATTTGTGAGTCAGATATTACCTTCGAAAGATCTACATCCGGATCGGGAGGAGGAGAACCCTTCTTGGTGGAGCCTGGTCGGACCTTGATGGGCGGTTCCGCAGAGGGCGCGCCTGGAACTTTCTTCGGAATCTTGCTAGGCGATTCTTTCTCGCGAGTTTTTCTGTCAGCTGGCGCGGACGTCATTTCAGCCGGGAAGTCCGGCCGTGGTTTCTTTGATGGCAAATCCGGACCTCGATCGGCTGCCGGATGCTTACCAGCGTGAATCTCTAGAGACACGTCTGGCTTTTCTGTGCTAACCATGGAATCACGAACCATTTCCAATCCATCAGGATGGACCATAGACAACATGAAGCTGGTCATAGCAGCGCCGGGCTTTACAGTCGGCTCGTCGTCCTTTGACTTGCTTGATTTTCGCTTGGTCGATTCCGGCTTGGGTGATTTTCCTTCTCGTACAGGGATCTTGGATATCTTTGGAACCTTTTCTACGGAGACCTTCCGCTCACTAGATTTGCGTTTGATCAATTTTGGAATTCCAGACCATTTTACGCCTGGTTTCGGCTTCAGTACTTTCTTCTTTCTGCCGTCATGCAAGACGATTTCCGTAATCTCTATTGTTTCGAATCGAGGGATGACATAGGTTTCTTCGACATCAAAGTATTGAATCCAGACCTTTCTTTTGCGACCGTCGGGTGTGGTGTCATCCTCAATTTTCGCGCCAGCTGGCAGCTCTCCAAGGTTCGAGTCAGTTACCTCAGTTGTGATGACAGCTTGTCGCTGGCCGCTAGGCATTTCGAGGATCTCGATCTCAGAGGTGTCTAGGAACTTTACTTTAGGGAGTTGGTCCTCGGGGATCATCTCAGCAAGGAGCCTGCCCGGTGCCTCAGGCTCCTCTTGTTTCTTGCTACTGAACCCAAACGAAAACGATGGCCATTCGAAACCAGCTTTTGGTTTCACAGTTTTGCGCACACGACCGTCAGGAAGTACCTCTTCTTTCAGTTCGATTTCTGGGGAATCCAGACTTATCTCCGTGTTCACTGGCTGACGCCAAACACGACGTTGACGACCATCAGGTAAAGACTCAACTTCGATCTGCGCGTCCACTGGAATGTTTTTCAACTCCTCATCAGGCACCTCAGTCTTTACGACAAACTGATGCCCATGAACTGGGTGCTCCTCTACTTCTATTTCTGCCTTCTCCTTGCTGAATGATGGTAAGAAGCGAGGAAAACAGCCCAGAAAATGAAAAGCGTGCCTCATCATCACTGGCTGGACTAGGCGATCGTGAGCGCACCTTGAACGATCGGAATTCCCAGTCGGGCACCTGTAACATAGGAAGTTTTATCTTCGGCCATTTGGTTCCTTTCCGTGGACGGTAAGTGGTCTTGTGTGACCCATCGGCCTCGTCAGCCTCAGCAACGTCGGCGCTTGAACAGGTTGGTAGGGCCAGGTCTGAATCAGCCTTGAAATGCTGCTCGATGGTCTGCGCCACACGGCCCGATGGACGGGTGACTTCAGTTGGCGTGAGACCCGCTGGTAGCTTAGGCACGTCAGACTTTTGGATTTCTGTCCTCACGATGACATCACGAACCTTCATTCGTGGAAGATCCACGACGTCAACCTCTGTGGTGTCCCGTATGCGAAGCTTTCCTAATTTGTCTTCTGGAATCAAATATTCGAGGACTCCATCGATTCCGAGGAAGTTTGGTGGTCGTTTCATCGCTTTCTTTGGTGGTGCCGGTTGAGGTTTTGACTTCTTCTTGTCCGGAGCCTCTGTGAATTCTGGAGCCTTCTTTTTGAATTCCCAACCGGGAATATGGAATTTCGGCATATCAAGCTCTGGCCATTTGAAGCCGCCTTTAGGCTTGTAAGATGTTTTTATCCTGCCATCTGGCATCGTAACCTCCTCGACCTCAGCCCCTTCTATCTCCGGTAGTTGGAATTCCGGATCGACGTCAAAGTATTGACGCCAGACTTTGCGAGTCTTACCAGATGGAAGAGACTCGACTTCAATCTTGGCATCCTTTGGTAGTTTTGACAGTTCAGGCTCGGTTACTTCGGTAGTGATGACAAGGTGACGTTTTCCAGATGGAAGATCCTCCACATCGATTGTGGAATTGTCTCTGAACTCGATGGACGGAAGTTTGGCCTTTGGAATGAAGCTCGCTAGAAGCTCAGAAATTCCGTTAAACCTCGGCTTCTTTACCGACTTTGACACTTTGCGCTCTGGACTGGGAGAGCGATCACTTGAACGGAATTCCCAATCTGGCATCTGAAGGCTGGGCATAGATAACTTTGGCCATTTGAAGCCCGGCTTTGGCTTATAAGTAGCCTTGACGTTTCCATTCGGCAGAGTGACTTCGGAAATGTCAGCTCCGCTCACCCTTGGCAGCGGAAGGTCCGGACTGCTGCGGAAGTTTTGGCAGAGTGTATGCTTTAGTGCACCATTGGGCTGACTGATCTTGATAATGTCGCTATCAGGCGGCAGCAGCTGAATATCTGCTTCGGAAATTTCAGTCCGTACCTCGACATCGCGAGCGTCCCCTCCAGGAATGTCGATAACATCAACTTCCGTATTGTCCCTGATGCGCAGTTTGGGAAGGTCATCTTTGGGCAACAGATACTCAAGAAGCCCGTCTACACCAGACACTTTTGGCGGTTTCACTCCTTTCTTGAAACTGAACGACGGCAGCTTGAAGCTGAACGCCGAGTCTTTCTCGTCCCGCACAGGCGAAAGTGAACGTTCCCTGACAGAACGAACTTCCCTCTCTGGTATGCTTGTTAACGGCATGTGAATTTCAGGCCACTTCAGACCACGACAAGGCTTGTAGGTGAAGCGAACAGTACCATCAGGAAGCTTTGTTTCTACAACACTCGCCCCAAAGACATCCGGAATCTCTTTTCTTGGATCAATTTTGAATTTCTGGGTGAGGATCTGCTCTTCACCACCTGGGACGTTCACTGTGTCTATTTTAGCGTTGGGTGTTAGCTCCGGAACAGTAACGTCTGTCACATTCGTAACGATGAAAAGTTCACTTTTCTTTGGACCAGTGACCTCCACACGAACTTCCGATGTTTCCGTGAACACCAATGATGGGAGCTCGTTAGGAGGAATCAACTGCATCACTAGGTCCCCGATGCCATCAATACCGGTATCACTTGGTCTGCTGGAGCGCACTGATGATGCATCTGTACTTTCTTCCTTTCTCACAGACGGTGGACTGTACGAGCCACTGCTTCCTCCGAAGTGCCAGTCAGGCAAGTGAAGGGACGGAAGGGTGATCTTAGGCCACTTGAACCCAGCCTTTGGCTTGAAAGATGTTTTGATTGAGCCGTCAGGAAGCTTGATTTCACTGATATCCGCACCGGAAACCTTAGGAAGCGGCAGTTCAGCATTGGCTTTGAACTTCTGGGTCAACAAATTTTTGGTTTTGCCGTCAGGTAACTTGATTTTCTCAGTTTTCAGATCCGTCGAAAGTTTTGGAAGATTCGCGTCAGGAATGTCCGTCATAACAATCACCTCTCTGCCCATCGTACCTGGGAGATCAACAACGTCCACTTCGGATGTATCACGAATTCGTAGTTTCGAAAGGTCGCTCTCGGGAAGAAGATATCCCAGAAGATGGTCCAAACCGTCGACCTTTGGCGTTTTCACTCCTTTCCCAAAACCAAATGAAGGCATCTTTACACCGAAGTGGAAATCACTGTCGCTTTTCTTCCTTTCAGGGCTTGGGGAACGGCTTTTTGAACTAAACTCCCACTCAGGCATTTCAAGCATGGGGAGTGTGACAGTTGGCCACTTAAAGCCAGGCTTCGGTTTGAATGTGGTTTTAACCGTTCCGTCGGAAAGATTCTTTGAGTGTACTTCAGCTCCAGAAACCTTTGGCAGTGGCAGTGATGCATCTCCTTTGAATTCCTGAACCATAATAGCGGCAAGACCTCCATGATGAGTCACTTTGTCTACCTTTGCACCAGTTGGTACCTTTGGAAGATCAACTTCCTGGATTTCCGTTCTAACAACAACTTTTCTGCTCTTCGTATTCATCTCGTCAAGGACATCGACTTCGGTATTATCTCGGAGCCGCAGCTTTGAGATATCTGACTCTTGTATGAAGTAGGCTAGAAGAGCATCAATTCCTTTCAGCTCTGGGATTTCGGTTCTCTTTTCGAAACCAAGTGATGGCAATTTTATTCCAGCACTGACGTCACTCTTCTCCTTCCTTTCTACAACTGCTGACGTATCACCGGAACCAAAGTCCCAGTCCGGAGTTGGAGAGATGGCAGCGAGATTTTCGGCCACTTGAACCCAGCCTTGGGCTTGAACGATGTCTTTATCGAGCCATCGGGAAGCTTGATGTCGTCAATGTCTGCGCCAGACACCTTAGGTAGGGTAGTTCGGCGTTGCCCTTGAGCTTCTGCGTTAACACATTCTTGATCTTTCCGTCAGGCAGTGTGATCTTCTCAGTCTTCAGATCGGCAGACAGCTTCGGAAGGTCACGTCAGGGATATCGGTACTGACGACAACCTCCCTGCCCTTCATATCGGGTAAGTCAATGACATCAACCTCTGTGTTGTCGCGGATACGAAGCTTGGGCAGCTCAGATTCTGGCAGAAGGTAGGCAAGAAGACCGTCAACGCCATCCAGCTTGGGAACCTTGGCACCTTTGCCGAATCCGAAGGAAGGCATCTTGATTCCAAAACTGAAGTCGCTATCTTCCTTGTCTTTCTCCTTTCTCTCCGGGCTTGGCGACCTATCACCAGAACCAAAGTCCCAGTCAGGAAGTTGTAGAGATGGCAGTGAGATCTTGGGCCACTTGAAGCCAGCCTTGGGCTTGAACGATGTCTTTATCGAGCCATCGGGAAGCTTGAGGTCGTCAATGTCTGCGCCAGACACCTTAGGTAGGGGTAGCTCGGCGTTGCCCTTGAATTTCTGCGTCAACACATTCTTGATCTCTCCGTCAGGCAGGGTGATCTTCTCAGTCTTCAGATCGGCAGACAGCTTCGGAAGGTCAACATCAGGGATCTCGGTACTGACGACAACCTCCCTGCCCTTCATATCGGGTAAGTCAATGACATCAACCTCTGTGTTGTCGCGGATACGAAGCTTGGGCAGCTCAGATTCTGGCAGAAGGTAGCCAAGAAGACCGTCAACGCCATCCAGCTTGGGAACCTGGCACCTTTGCCGAATCCGAACGAAGGCATCTTGATTCCAAAGCTGAAGTCGCTATCTTCCTTGTCTTTCTCCTTTCTCTCCGGGCTTGGCGACCTATCACCAGAACCAAAGTCCCAGTCTGGAAGTTGTAGAGATGGCAGTGAGATCTTGGGCCACTTGAAGCCAACCTTGGGCTTGAACGATGTCTTTATCGAGCCATCGGGAAGCTTGAGGTCGTCAATGTCTGCGCCAGACACCTTAGGTAGGGGTAGCTCGGCGTTGCCCTTGAATTTCTGCGTCAACACATTCTTGATCTCTCCGTCAGGCAGGGTGATCTTCTCAGTCTTCAGATCGGCAGACAGCTTCGGAAGGTCAACATCAGGGATCTCGGTACTGACGACAACCTCCCTGCCCTTCATATCGGGTAAGTCAATGACATCAACCTCTGTGTTGTCGCGGATACGAAGCTTGGGCAGCTCAGATTCTGGCAGAAGGTAGCCAAGAAGACCGTCAACGCCATCCAACTTGGGAACCTTGGCACCTTTGCCGAATCCGAACGAAGGCATCTTGATTCCAAAGCTGAAGTCGCTATCTTCCTTGTCTTTCTCCTTTCTCTCCGGCTTGGCGACCTATCACCAGAACCAAAGTCCCAGTCTGGAAGTTGTAGAGATGGCAGTGAGATCTTGGGCCACTTGAAGCCAGCCTTGGGCTTGAACGATGTCTTTATCGAGCCATCGGGAAGCTTGATGTCGTCAATGTCTGCGCCCGACACCTTAGGTAGGGTAGCTCGGCGTTGCCCTTGAATTTCTGCGTCAACACATTCTTGATCTTTCCGTCAGGCAGGGTGATCTTCTCAGTCTTCAGATCGGCAGAGAGCTTCGGAAGGTCAACATCAGGGATCTCGGTACTGACGACAACCCCCTGCCCTTCATATCGGGTAAGTCGATGACATTCACCTCTGTGTTGTCGCGGATACGAAGCTTTGGCAGCTCAGACTCTGGCAGAAGGTAGCCAAGAAGACCGTCAACGCCATCCAGCTTGGGAACCTTGGCACCTTTGCCGAATCCGAACGAAGGCATCTTGATCCCAAAGCTGAAGTCGCTATCTTCCTTGTCTTTCTCCTTTCTCTCCGGGCTTGGCGCCCTATCACCAGAAACAAACTCCCAGTCGGGAAGTTGTAGAGATGGCAGTGAGATTTGGGGCCACTTGAAGCCAGCCTTGGGCTTGAATGATGTCTTTATCGAGCCATCGGGAAGCTTGATGTCGTCAATGTCTGCGCCAGACACCTTAAGTAGAGGTAGCTCGGCGTTGCCCTTGAATTTCTGCGTCAACACATTCTTGACCTTTCCGTCAGGCAGGGCGATCTTCTCCGTCTTCAGATCAGCAGACAGCTTCGGAAGGTCAACGTCAGGGATCTCAGTACTGACGACAACCTCCCTGCCCTTCATATCGGGTAAGTCAATGACATTCACTTCTGTGTTGTCGCGGATACGAAGCTTTGGCAGCTCAGACTCGGGAAGAAGGTAGCCAAGAAGACCGTCAACGCCATCCAGCTTGGGAATCTTGGCACCTTTGCCGAATCCGAACGAAGGCATCTTGATCCCAAAGCTGAAGTCGCCATCTTCCTTGTCTTTCTCCTTTCTCTCCGGGCTTGGCGACCTATCACCAGAACCAAACTCCCAGTCAGGAAGTTGTAGAGATGGCAATGAGATCTTGGGCCACTTGAAGCCAGCCTTGGGCTTGAACGATGTCTTTATCGAGCCATCGGGAAGCTTGATGTCGTCAATGTCTGCGCCAGACACCTTAGGTAGGGGTAGCTCGGCGTTGCCCTTGAATTTCTGCGTCAACACATTCTTGATCTTTCCGTCAGGCTGGATGACCTTCTCTGTCTTCAGATCGGCAGAGAGCTTCGGAACGTCAACATCAGGGATCTCGGTACTGACGACAACCTCCCTGCCCTTCATATCGGGTAAGTCATGACATCAACCTCTGTGTTGTCGCGAATACGAAGCTTTGGCAGCTCAGACTCTGGCAGAAGGTAGCCAAGAAGACCGTCAACGCCATCCAGCTTGGGGACCTTGGCACCTTTGCCGAATCCAAACGAAGGCATCTTGATCCCAAAGCTGAAGTCGCTATCTTCCTTGTCTTTCTCCTTTCTCTCCGGGCTTGGCGACCTATCACCAGAACCAAAGTCCCAGTCGGGAAGTTGTAGAGATGGCAGTGAGATCTTGGGCCACTTGAAGCCAGCCTTGGGCTTGAACGATGTCTTTATCGAGCCATCGGGAAGCTTGATGTCGTCAATGTCTGCGCCAGACACCTTAGGTAGGGTAGCTCGGCGTTGCCCTTGAATTTCTGCGTCAACATATTCTTGATCTCTCCGTCAGGCAGGGTGATCTTCTCAGTCTTCAGATCGGCAGACAGCTTCGGAAGGTCAACATCAGGGATCTCGGTACTGACGACAACCTCCCTGCCCTTCATATCGGGTAAGTCGATGACATTCACCTCTGTGTTGTTCCGGATACGAAGCTTTGGCAGCTCAGACTCTGGCAGAAGGTAGCCAAGTAGACCGTCAACGCCATCCAGCTTGGGAGCCTTGGCACCTTTGCCGAATCCGAACGAAGGTATGTTGATTCCAAAGCTGAAGTCGCTATCTTCCTTGTCTTTCTCCTTTCTCTCCGGGCTTGGCGACCTATCACCAGAACCAAACTCCCAGTCGGGAAGTTGTAGAGATGGCAGTGAGATTTGGGGCCACTTGAAGCCAGCCTTGGGCTTGTACGATGTTTTTATCGAGCCATCGGGAAGCTTGATGTCGTCAATGTCTGCGCCAGACACCTTAGGTAGGGGTAGCTCGGCGTTGCCCTTGAATTTCTGCGTCAACACATTCTTGATCTTTCCGTCAGGCAGGGTGATCTTCTCAGTCTTCAGATCGGCAGAGAGCTTCGGAAGGTCAACATCAGGGATCTCGGTACTGACGACAACCTCCCTGCCCTTCATATCGGGTAAGTCAATGACATTCACTTCTGTGTTGTCGCGGATACGAAGCTTTGGCAGCTCAGACTCGGGAAGAAGGTAGCCAAGAAGACCGTCAACGCCATCCAGCTTGGGAACCTTGGCACCTTTGCCGAATCCGAACGAAGGCATCTTGATTCCAAAGCTGAATTCGCTATCTTCCTTGGCCGTCTCATTTGTTCGGAACTCCCAATCCGGCATCTGGATTCCCGGAAGAGAAATTTCGGCCACTTGGATCCGGGCTTGGGCTTGTATGTTGTTTTCGTAGATCCGTCTGGTAATTTCACATCATCTGTTGAAGCTCCGGAAACTTTTGGAAGAGACAGACCTGCATTTCCTGTGTACTTCTGGATGAGTTCATTTTTTACTTCGTTGTTCGGAAGCGTAATTTGATTGATCTCGAAATCTCCGGACATCTTCGGCAAGTCGGCATCAAACAGAGGAGTGCGAACAATAACCTCACGTCCTTTCCCAGTCTGAAGATCGATGACGTCAACCTCAGTGAGGTCACGGATGCGTAGCGTGTCAATGTCTTCTTGAGGCAAAATGTATCCGAGAAGCCCGTCAATACCGTCAAATTTGGGCGCCTTGGGTGTCTTCTTAAAACCAAACGATGGCATTTTCATGCCCAGGTGGAATTCGTGATCACCCTTGCGCTCAGTGCCAGCTTGAGGGACGTTCGCTTCTGTGCTGAACTCCCAGTTCGGAATGTCAAATTGCGGCAATGTAAACTTCGGCCACTTGAAGCCAGGCTTGGGGCGGTAAGTAGTTTTGATTGAGCCTGGTTGTAGTTTCGTTTCACTGATATCAGCTCCCGATACCTTGGGCAAATGAAGCTCAGCATTGCCTGAAAAAGCTTGTTCGAGTACGTTCTTGGCATTGCCATCAGGGAAAGTAAGTTTCTTAGTTTTAAGGCCGGATGGAAGGCTTGATAGGTCAGTTTCTGGTATGATGGTGCGGACAATGATACTTCGTGTCTTTGGCTCAGCGTCGTCTATGATATCAACCTCGGTGTCGTCCTTGATGCGCAGCTTCGGCAAGTCAGATTCAGGGAGAAGGTATCCGAGCAGACCATCAATGCCATCGAATTTTGGGGTTTTGACTCCCTTTTTGAATCCAAATGATGGCATTCGGATGCCAAAGTGATGCTCACTCTCCTTGTCCGCCTTGCGCTCTGGACTCGGTGATCGATCAGTTGCCGGAACTTCCAGCCAGCATCTCCAGGGTTGGGAGATGGATCTCTGGCCATTTCATGCCAACCTTTGGTTTGAATGTTGTCTTTCTGGCTCCGTTAGGGAGGGTGGAGTCTTCTACGTCGGCGCCTGCAAGTTTCGGAAGAAGAA